CACTATTTTTAACATACAACACTTACACTGGAAATCTGACACTTCCGAATTTGCTGTGTATACTAAACTTAACTTTATAGTTTTAGAACAAGGAGAAGACATTTGTTGTGAATTGTTGTTAGATTTATAAATAAAATGGAATTGAGCCTCCAAATAGGATTATTACTCTTTAAAATAACTATCAGAAAACATATTACTGATGATTGGCCTTTGATTTGAAATCTGTTGACTTTTATTTTGAGGACGGTGTTTTGTGCACCTCCCCAAAGACCCGTTGGTCAAGAAAATTGATGGGGGTTTCAGAAAAATGGTAGCTACCTGCACCACAGTGCCCTTCAACTGTCAGAAAATTTTGAAAACCATACTATAGTTTTTCTTCCAATTCATAATTATGCTGTCCTCTGTGTTGGTCCGTTACTTAAAATCCCAAGGAAATACACTGAGACTTGATGTGAATTGACAGAATTGGTAAACTTCAAATGTTGTGACAGTTGTCTCTGGCATTGTGCAGATCACTGGATTATTTTTTTTATTTGTAGTCATTTGGGCAGGAAGAACACAAACGACACACACAAAATAAATCCACACTACAAAAACGTAAATATAATAATTCATTAAGACACATGAACTCATCACATAAATATACTCCTGTTAATGTACTTTGCCAGCTTCTCAATATACACAGAAAATTAGGAATAACTTAAATCAATTATATAGTGAGTTGCACCTTGTTCAAGTCACACATCATAATAAAAATCCTGCCAGAGGCCTACATAGTGAAAAGCAGATGACCACTAAAGGTATTGTGACGATCTGGGTTGTCATGAATTCTTGAATTAGCCCACATGCGCAAAAATACAACGTCTCCGACATTTAACAGCAGCGTGACGCCATTTGACGTCTTCTGTCCACCTTCAGGCTGAGTTGTCCATGCTGTGAAGATCTGCTCTCTGTTTTTGACCAACACAGCAGATGTAGGATTTGAAGAACCATGTCCATATATGTAGAACTCAAAGTGATACGCTCCTCTCACTGGTGCAGTGAACAGCCCTGTGAAGCATTAACGCCAGATACGTAAGCCTTTTCTTACTTTTCCTATCAGAACAAATTAACCACATTTATGTTCCGATTGTGAGCACATGTAAATACAAAATATAAACCGTAAATTGAAGCACCTGTATGTGGGTTGTAGGCATTTCCAACATTAGTAACAACATGTCTGAAGACCAGAGTTGTGTGTGTGTTGAATGGTCCAAAGTTTCCTGGAGTCAACGCCAAGAAAGAGGCAGAGAAAGCCAGACGTTTTGCTGAGAGACAGAAATGGAACATCATTAAATTACAGCAGGGAAAATAAGTAATAAGCACCTTAACTGTCAGAATAAATATTGTTTTAACAGGCCTACTAACATGATAAATCCAATTAACATGTACAAAAAATATTAGAATTTATTTAATTTTGTTTATCTTGGGCATCTTGATATGTCTTCAAATACTTTTAGCCAAAAGGGATAGAAAGGCAGACAGTAGCATTCTATCTAGCCTACTGCAGTTTGCACATATTAATAAGTGTAAAAGAAAAAAAATTGTAAAAAAAGAATAAAGAAATATTTCAAACATTGTTTCATCCTGTGTGGTGTGTGGTTGCCATTTTGAGTCATCCTAATAATTAATGCAAAAAGAGCTTATTTAACTTCAGAAGCTAAGAACTATAATAGTAAGTTTTTAGTAGCTATGTAAGGATAATGGTGTCAGGATCCCAGACAGTTATGTTGTTTTGAAGTTTGATTTGATATTAGTTTCATAGATTTGTCTTATTCCTGTTTTCCTTTAGTTCAATTCTTCTCAGTATTATATTTGTCATATTTATTGTTTATATATCAGTCATATTTGTTGCTTATAGTTTTTCTTTGCTAGCCTAGTTTTATTGTTCTTCGGTCTAGTTATTCTTTAGTGTTAGATTTATTTTCTGCTCACCTGTGTGTACTCTCCCTCACACCCTGTGCCAGCTTCTCTCTCCCTCCACTCACACCTGCAGCCAGTTAGCTAATCAGCCCAGGTCTTTTGTCCAGCATCCATCCTCTCCAATGTTTCAGCCTTTCATTTTCAGTCACTCCTCGCCGGATCCTTTCATCTACTCCCTTCACTTCCCCATTCTACCCCCTGTTCTCCTTGGGTCTCCTTGCCTGGAAGTTCTTTGGATTTATAATTTTGTCTTTTGCTCTGGCTCTTATGGTTTTCTGTAAGTTTTTGTATTTCACCTTTTTTCATTAAATCATCAAAACACTGTTCTGAGAATGATGTTCTTTATATTTCAAATGTATGTGTGGTTAAGTTTGAGTGTGTGCACATAGGCCTTGTTTGTTGGTGTGTGCGTGTGGAGGTGTGCGTGTGTGTGTGTGTGTGTGTGTGTGTGTGTGTGTGTATGTTGTAAAGTTTTTTTTGTTTTTTTTTCACAAACACTACGTTGTGTGAAGACCTACTACTCCATATGGGGCTAAAAGAGTGGGCCCCATAAGAAGAAGTGATGTTTTTTGGGTTAAGTGTTAGGTTTTGCAATAAGGTGTGAATTGAGTTTGGGTTAGGTTTGGGACTAGGTAGGTAAAGCCACTGGAAATGATAAGGCATGTGGTAGAAATGAATGAAAAATTAATGGAAATCGACGCAAAGTCCTGGAGAAGATCAAAACTCGAGATAAAAGCAGTGTAATGTGTTGCCATGACAGGTTTTCTTCAGAGTTCACAAACCTTCTCCCTCTCTCTTCAGAGCCTCCACTTGATTTTCAGCATTGTCCACCTTGGCCTGAACAGTAGCCAGTTCTGCTGCCTGAGCTGAAATGAAAGGAAAACCAAATATCTGGCATGAAATAAGAGTAATACTGTAATTGGTTTGTTTCCTTACTGATGTCTTCCCGTGTCTAAAATTTATTATATGAACATAATAAGTTATAGCAAATGACAGGGAGACATCAGAGGGAGTGACAAGAAAGTGAGTGATGTCATGACAAGTTTTCTTCAAACATTACAAACCTTCCACTCTGTTTTCAGTGGAGCTTGCCTTGACTTTAACAGTAGCCAGTTCTGTTGCCTGCACTGAAATGAAAGGAAAAGCAAAGACTTGGCATTAAATAAAACATTATCTGTAGAGTATTTGCTCTAAATTATTGATTTGTTTCCTTACTGAGTCTTGCCATGTCTTACATTTATTGTATGAATGTATGAGCTCGGGGGATGCACACCCAGAAAGGGTCTATGAACTTATTTTTCTTAGGCTATAACTAATTTGAGAAACTGAGAAACACTGCTGTAAATACATCTTGTATTAACTAGCACCATGTACTTATCCGTGATGTTTTATTTGGTATTGTTTTATACACATGTCTTTTGTTGCTGTGGTTTCTTGGTTTTGTTTCTGCAGGTCAAGAGGCAAACTTCTACGGTGTTGACTCGTGTTTCCCTCTACCCTTATTTCTGTCCTCTACTTTTATCTCCTTTTCCTTTGAAACTCTTTCTCTTTTATATATATATATATATATATATATATATATATATATATATATATATATATATATATATATATATATATATATATATATATATATATATATATATATTCTATCTTTTCCATTTCTATGGCTTCTTCCCTTGCAGAAAAAAAATTAGATACCTTGGTTCTGTTGCCGCAGTTCTATCATCTGTCTTTCCTGCGCTAAAGAAAAAAAACAACAAAAAAACAATGACAAAAACAATGTTTTAGTTGACAAGTACATGCCTGTCATATATTCAAAGTAACCTTTAAATTGAACTTTTGGACATTGTCTACGACCAGTCAGTACCTTGGTACCGTTGGTTGAGTGAATACAGCTCTTTTGTCTTTGCTGTTTGTAACGACAAATAAATAAAACAATCATTTTAAATGAGCATTTTATTAATGAAAAACTGTATTTCCAAATGCTAATGCTATAACTCTCTTTGTAAACGTACCTTCATTATCTCTCTGCAGGTGCTTCACCTCCACCTTCAAGGCAGCCAACCAGGCGCCCATCTCTCTCAGAACAGCATCGATGTCCTGTGTGTGGGTCTGCTGGGCAGCAGAGACATGGTCTGGTTCTCCTACCTGTGCCTCAGTTTGCCTTAAATTTGAAATAATGTCGTTCTCAGACTCTTGAAGCTGTGCTGCAGAGACAGTGCAGACTAGCAGCAGCACTGGAAAAAACCTGTTCATTTCCATCCTCAGTTTTGGTCTCTGGAAGTCGTCTCCTCTGTGTGGACCTGATGAAGTTCTCGAGTCTTAAATATTGGACTTGATTGTTGCTGACTAACTGTTATCATTGTCTTTTGTCACACATGAGCTGATAAGACTTGTTTCGTTAGACTTGTCCTGTTAACAAAAAGATCAATCTTGGATCATAAACAATACATTATTACCTGTTTGCGGGAAGATGATTTTTTAATGTGTAACTAATTGTAACCCTGTAGCGTTTCCATGGTTATGGTAGATAATGAATGAAAACCCTTCAACGAGGTCAGAACATTTACAGTCACAGCCAGGTTTGTAATGTGGTTGATACAAAATAAGATGTAAAATAAAAATAATGCAGACCAAGACTGTGTGTACCACCGTTCTCCAGCTCTTGTCTGCAGAGTTTTACATTTTGTTGGCAAAAAAAAAAAAAA